TTCTCCCAAGCACTCAATCCCCTTAGAAATTACGAGGCATCAGACTCGAACTCTATCTATCACTAGCTTCCGTTACTCACAACTCATTTTCAAAAAATAGAGAAGAAATTTCATTCGAAGTTAGAAGGTTTGATTATGTCAAATGTGATTCCCTGGTGCAAAAAAAAATAGATAACTATAACTGAGCTTAAAGAGTGGAGTCACATTCATATATATGAAAGGCATAGGTAATTTAGCATGGGATTTATAGATCAAGTAAGGAAGATTCTTTCAATTATTCAGTCAAATGAATTAAAATTACCAACAACATTCAGATCATTAAAATTAGTCGTATACCCTTATTCTTTGCATCAATAATGATATGTAGGAGTACCGATCAACACATCAATCAGGAAAGTGAGTGTTCACATTTGGAAGATATAACTTCGATCAACAACATTCCCACACCATTTTGACTAATCCCATCTAATACATTAAACCTTCTCACTATAGTAGAACGGATTATTATTCTTTAACATCAGATGCAAGTGCAGAGCAAAAGCATTATTTCTCCAGTAACCGGAATGCTGATACTTCTAAGACACCTGACAGAATTTTGACCGAAAGACGAAAAAAAATTTCAGAGACCTTTTACAACTCGACCTTCTGTGCATATATCTAAAGAGAATTGAGACCCCAACAATTTTTTCCTTTAGGGGGTTTTTTGGATGATATCTACTTCAAACTAAAATGCAAGCCATAGATGACCATTGTTCTATATAAGTAGTGCTGTATTGTTCTGTAAGGGGCCTCCAAATATTAACCAGAGCGATGAAGCACACTTATTATAAATAAATGTAAATTTTAATGAGCGAAAAGAAATCCAAAATTGTCACAATCAGAGACTCCAGCTCTCGCGTTGTCTGTGAATCTCTTTATTCAGTCCTTCAAGATAATGGTATGGTTGCCATCATTCAACAACAATACAATTATCTTAAACAGAGGAAGAAATAAAAAAAAATAGTGTAGACCAAAAATACTTCTTATGGTGTATAGCTTCTTTGTGCATGAAAGATAAAATCATTTTGATTTAGCTAGCATACTAGAAACAATCCTAACGTAATTTTGCAAGAAGTATAAGAGTACACAATATAATAGTAACATGAGATTAATAGAAAATTCCAGATAGCAAAGAAGAAAAACTCACCACAATTCAAGCGACTTCACTTGGAGCATTGTGCATGTGAGGATGAACTAGGCAGCCTCGCCATTGGCAGCATTGCAGAAGTTGCAGCTTCGGGCAACCGCTTGCAGAAAGCTTGTGAAGTTTCTCGAAATATGCAGAGTCACCTGCTGCGGCAGTTTGAGAGAAATGAAGTGTTAGAATGGGCGATGTGTGCTGTAGTGTCTAAGCAGCCGTTCTTGCGAATTCAGGAGAAAAATAAAAACAGTAGTGCGCCGAGGCACGATTCCACAGCGGAGTGAACTAGAAACCTGGGTAATGCTAATGTGCAAATATAGGAACATCGATCGAGTGAAATAAAGAGGAGGCTCAGTTATAAACATTGGTTTTTCAGAAGGGAGGGCAACAAGTGACTAAAAGATGTGACCATCTATGTAATTAAATTATTTTTTTTGTGTAGCGGGAGGGAGGATGTGCGTAAGATGAAGAAGGCCGCTGAAAAAGCACATTTTTTAAAAGATCTGCAAGAGAATTGTTAACATTATCAAATGAAATTAGAAGTAAAACGCTGTGCTTTATAATCAAGGAGGGATGGTTCGACATTTCCACAATGGATGTAGTGGAGAATCCGCCATTCCATGCTCCAAAAAAAACATGCGGCCAAAGAGGCCAAAAACAAACTCAGCGGGGAGAGAATGAATCTTACCATTAATAATAATAGACGAGAAACCATAGAGTCTCACCAAACTAAGCTTTATTACATGATGTAGGCCAAGAGTGGAACATTTAGGAAATCTCAGAGTTGATTCAGGTATGAGATGACACCCCATTTATCTACATTATGTCAATTATAATATAATTAATATATATATAATAGAGTATATATATATTATTAATATGTTGTAGAAACTACAGAGGAGGGGCGGGCTTACTCATTGAAGTAGCGGAGAGACAATTTGACCCTCTTGAATAATACTTGGTTCCGCCAGTGTCTATAGTGGTATGTTTTTCCTCTAATATATGTTGGAGAAAAGTACTCGTCAATCGTTAACTGACCCCATACAATAACATCGGGGAAGAAGAGTGTCTCGACATCCTTCTTACTGTAATGGAACTATAAACGAAAATGAATATAACTTCAATTTACTAACTATAACTATTGGTTAGCATACACTAATGTAACATTCATGACATATTTTATATCTCTACTTCTTCTTCAGCAAACAATGAGAGTATTACTCATATTTAGACTTTAGGCATTGTCATTATGTTCTTTGAACCCAAAAACATCTACAAAACATACGTTATTTATATTCTTCGAATTTGATCTTAGATAGGCAAACTATTAATTATAGAAATCATGTGCTCTTAATTAAATTACTATAAGTCTAAGTCTTTAAATTGAGTATTACTCTTTGTATTTACAAATTTAACTATTGAAAAATATATATTTTTCAACAAAAAAATATAACAAAGATTTACATTTCATCACAATATTTTAAATTTGCTTAAAAAATAATTGGTTGACCATAAGGCAAAAACAACCATAAAGATTTTCCAGCGTTGGCGAACTTCGGCGACTAGGGCAACAGTACAGCCGGTTGCAACGAGAATGACTAAAAGAGAATGGAATAGGAGAAGATGAGTGAAGGGCAAGCGACTAGCGAGTCAAGCTAGAAAAATGAGGAGAAATGTATAGAGTTTGTTGCTCGTTAAAGCGACAAGTGACCAATCGGCAAGTGACCAATCGTTGTTTGAATGGTGATTGTAACCAATTTATTTTTTTTAATTATATTATTAATTTTGTTATTAACATTATAAAATTTTGTCCTTGCACAAAAAATTTTTTTTTATTAATACATATTTTGAGCTATGGCTCTCAATATTTTAAAATTATATAATTTGCATGACAAAAAGTCAATACCGGCGGCATTGAACGCTATCAGTCTATCCATAACCCGCCAAACTGGTCCCCACTTCTCCGAACATAAGCGACGTCGACCGATTCAAATCCTTCAAATTGCCCCGCGCCACTCAACACCACGGCGAGCTTCTCTTCGCAAATCTGTTGGACAATGGCTTCTCTTCCGCTTTTTCTCATCACAATCCTCGCCGCCGTTGCCGCCATCACCGCCGTCACCAATGTCGCCGACGAGAAATCCATCATGATCGCCATAAAGAACTCTTTCCATATTCCCTCTGCCTCCAACGCCGTCTTCCTATCTTGGTCGCCGTCTGCTGCCTCCCCTTGTAACTTCTCCGGCGTATCCTGCACTACCGACGGATTCGTTTCCTCTGTGGATCTCACCGGCCTCGGCATTTCAGGAACCATCCCCTTCTCACTCCTCTGCTCACTCCCCTCACTCTCTTCCCTCAAACTCGGCTCCAATCGCTTCTCGGGCACCATTTCCACCGCTCTCCTCAATTGCTCCAGTCTGCTTCACCTTGATCTGGCCTTCAACTCCCTTGTTCTCTCCGTCCCCGACCTCTCTCCTCTTGCCTCCCTCCGTGTCCTGAACCTCACCCAAAACCTCCTCTCCGGCCTCTTCCCCTGGACTTCGCTCGCTAATCTCACGGCCATCGAATCCCTATGCCTCGGCGATAACTTTTTTGATCCCAGCCCCTTTCCCAACGTCGTCACCACTCTCACAAAACTCAATTGGCTCTACATCTCCGTCTGCAACCTCCACGGCGAGATCCCACCTGAGATTGGAAATCTCACCAGCCTTATCAATCTCGAGTTCGCAGATAACTTTCTGTCCGGCGAGATCCCGCAGGAGATAACAAAATTGAAGAACCTCTGGCAACTTGAGCTTTACAATAACTCGTTCACGGGAAAAATCCCGGTCGGATTCGGGAATCTGTCCAATCTCGCCTTCTTCGATGCGTCCATGAATAATTTGACAGGGGATCTCTCTGAACTCCGGCATTTAAGCGAATTAGTATCTCTCCAGCTCTATTTCAACAACTTCTACGGTGAGATTCCGCAGGAGTTAGGAGAATTTAGGAAATTAGTTAATCTATCTCTTTACAGTAATCAACTCACCGGCCGAATTCCGACTAAGCTTGGGAGCTGGGCGGAGTTTAATTTCATAGACGTGTCGACCAACTTCCTCACCGGGCCGATTCCTCCGGATATGTGTCGGATGGGGACGATGAAGAAGCTTCTGCTGCTCGAGAACCAACTCTCCGGTGAGATTCCAGCTACTTACGCCAATTGTTCGTCTCTGATTCGGTTCAGAGTCAGCAATAACTCCCTCTCAGGCGAAGTTCCAGCCGGGATTTGGGGTCTTCCCATTGTTAATATTATAGACCTCGCTGCGAACAAATTCGAAGGACGGATCACGAAGGACATTGGAATGGCGAAATCCTTATTCCAGCTATGCATCTCCGGCAACCAGATCTCTGGCGATATCCCGACGGAGATTTCCGATGCGTCATCTTTGGTAAAAATCGACGCTAGTTCGAACCAACTCAACGGCCAGATCCCGTCGAGCATAGGGAAACTGAAGAGCCTCTCAAGCTTGAATCTTGACAACAACCAGCTCTCCGGCAAGATCCCCAATACCATCGGCTCATGCTCTGCCCTCAATTCCATAACTCTAACTGGAAATTCATTATCGGGTCCTATTCCATCCAGCATCGGTTTTCTCCCAAATCTAAACACGCTGAATCTCTCCTCCAACCGCCTCTCCGGCGCGATTCCGGCCAGCCTGAGTTCGCTAAAGCTCAGCTCACTGGACCTCTCCAATAACCTCCTCACCGGCGAAGTTCCTCCTGAACTCTCCATCACCGCATACAACGAGAGCTTCATCGGAAACTCCGGCCTCTGCGGCGACAACATCGGCTATCTCCGACGATGCTCGTCCTCCTCATCTAGGAGCGATAAGCTCCGTGTTGCGCTAATAGCTTTCCTCGTCACCGTGGTCCTGTTCCTCACCGTCTTCTTCCTTATATTGTTCAGGAGACGCTCCCACTCCACCAAAGGCCGCAACCTCCGCCTATCATCGGATTCCTGGAACATGAAATCCTTCAGCATTCTCACCTTAAATGAGCACGAGGTTATCAATTCGATCCGGCAGGAAAACCTCATCGGCAAAGGAGGCTCTGGCGAAGTTTACCGCGTCCTCCTCAACAACGGCCACGTCGTCGCCGTCAAGCACATCTCAAACTCCACCTACGGCGGCGGAGCCGTCTCCGACGGCGCCGCGATGCTCAAACGGCGCTCTTTGAAGCTTTCTAAAGAATTTGACGCGGAAGTCGACATGCTAAGCTCGATCCGCCATGTGAACGTTGTGAAGCTCTACTGCAGCATCACTGGCGATGATTCGAGCTTGCTCGTCTACGAGTATCTTCCCAATGGGAGCTTGTGGGATCGGCTGCACTCGGGCGCCGGTGAGAAGCTGGGCGGATTGGATTGGGAGACCCGGTTCGACATCGCTCTCGGCTCGGCACGGGGGCTGGAGTACCTCCACCACGGCTGCGAGCGGCCCATACTACACCGTGACGTCAAGTCCAGCAACATACTTCTCGACGAGGCTTTCCGTCCGCGCATTGCGGACTTTGGCCTCGCCAAGATACTCCATCGCTCAACTGCACGGGATTCCTACACGCACATTATTCCCGGCACCCATGGCTACATTGCTCCTGGTTAGCTTATTCAAATTAACGCATAGGCTTCCTTTGCTACAGCTTTCTCCATTACAGTCACATTTATATTTCTTAATTTGCTTGCAGAGTACGCGTACACCTGGAAGGTGGACGAGAAGAGCGACGTGTATAGCTTTGGTGTGGTGCTGCTTGAACTGATTACAGGAAGGAGGCCGGTGGAGATGGATTACGGCGAGGACAAGGATATAGTCCGTTGGGTGGCTGGGAGGATCAGGAGCAAAGATGGTGTTTTGGGTTTGATCGATGAGCACATATTGATGGCAGCAGAGAAGGAGGAAGCTATTCGTGTTCTAAGGGTTGCTTTGCTCTGCACCGCCGGAGTGCCGACGATGAGGCCGCCTATGAGGATTGTGGTGCATATGCTTGAGGAGATTGCCACCCAGCGCATTGCGGCCGGAGACGACAAGTTGGAAGCAGGTTCTCTTGAGAAGAAGGAAGGAGGGGAGACGAAAGAGATTGGCTCGCTGTAGATCGTTAATTCTAGGGAAAAATTATGTATAAATCAGATAATTTTAAAGCAAATTTTGATATATTTTGTATCAGGATATCCTAAGTTATGTAGCTTAGAGGTTTATGTAAAGGGAATAATTGCAGAGCTTTTGAGAAATTCTTTTGTAGGATCCCATGCATATAGAAATATTTTGATAGTTTTTTTTTTTTTTTTTTGGTTATAACCCCTCATTAAAGTTGAATATATCTTAATATGTGCTGTTCTGCAGTTATATTATTTCTTTTATATTGGTTTAAAATAATTTAAATATATAATTAGACTTGATATGGCAACACAAAATTAGCTTGATCGGGCACGAATCTCGAGGCAAAAAGCCAGCCGGAAACTTCAAAAATTAAATCAGGGAGCACCTGAACTCCGATTTCAGCAAACTTATAATCAAACTGAGCGTCTCGGAAATACGAACCCAACGACACCAAATTCGACCCAATCCGAGTCCAAATGGGTCCGAATCAAGGACCCGAAGCGCTGTTGGAAGGTTCAAACCTCAATTTGAATTATCAAACGGACTCCGATTTTGACGAGCTTATACTCGAATCGAAGGGCTCGAC